TAGATTAATTTGGTATAAATATCTCATTTTTGAATCTGAGGGTCGAAACCCACTTTTTCCTAGAACAGCCCCCATATGCTAAAAAACAATTTTACAAGGCCACAGATCAATAATTTTCTATTAATGCTGTAATGATGGCAATAATATTATCCATATTTTAAGTGTATTATTATTATCCAGTTTTACAAATATCGGTACTTTTGTTGATACTTTCTTTTTACACCAAACGCGCTTTATTTATTTGAAAACACATTTTTTTAAGGGGAATGGAAATTTTTGAAATATGACTAATAAATATATTATTTCTTATTAAATATATTTTTCTCAAATTATTAGATACTGATAAAGGTTTATGAACTAAATAGGAATCAGAAAAAAGTTTTTAAAGGAGCATTAAAACAGAGGATTTCTCTTTGTTGAGTTTACTATTAAAAATGTAATGACATTTTTGAATTGCTATAACTTTACGTAGTTCTTTTTGATATAAAAAAAAAATTCATTAGAAAGCTTTGAATGGTGCAGTTTTACTTGGTTTAATAACAAAGCTTGGTTCTATTATGAAAATAAAAAGCGATTCGAATTTTATACCTAATCGTGTTCCAACGAATTTTAAAAATTCGTTGTATTATTTATTATTCCTTCTATATAAACAACAATATTACACTTCAGGTTTGTAATTACATCCTGCTCTTAAAGTCTGTGATTTCAACCACAGCATCTCTCCGAAATACTTTTTAGATGCAAAGAAAAATGTCAAGATGAATAAAAGAATAAAAACGAACAAAACGAATAATTCGAATAAACCAATAAAAGGAATAAAAGGAATAATTCGAACAAAAGGAATAAAGCGAATAATTCAAACAAAACCAATAAAACGCATAGTTCAAATAATTCTAATAAGAACTTGTATTGTAAATAGAAACTCTACACATTAACATTAATAACGATAACAAAAAAGTTTTAAATTTAAATAATAAATATCAAATCAAATTATTTATAGGTTCAAATTTCATTGATCGGAGCCTTAAATATCCTATAAAAAATTTTTCAGAAAATGCATGGTTTCATCAGGAAAATGCTTTTGAAATTATACATAGGTCTTACATGTAAACACCATATCATGGTTTGTATATGATTGACATATGTGTGGCTTTTGCGTAATGAGCATAGTGGAAGTTTGTTGTTACACGAAATGTTGTACAGAACTCATTGCTTTTGAAACTTCGCCAGTGTATAGTTGTTACCTCTCTAAATTGGAGATCAAGTTCGGATCAAATTCAAATCCAGTTTATCACTTACTTTTTATTGCCAGAAGGTTTGCCGTGTATTGTAAAGCTATGTTGCACAATATAAAAAATTAGTGTAACATTTCAAATTTCCACTATGCTGTGCATAATGTGTTAAGCCATCGAATCTGCCTAATATACAGGCGGATCTTTCAATCGAAGGTGCTACTGCAGTGATAATGCAAGAAAATTGGGAAACGTAATTTTGTTCTCGACAAAAATAAATATTTTTATTAATAATTTTGCTATTTACTGTGGTATAAATACTTGCAAATAAAATCAAAATTTTAGAGATCATTTCCAAAAAATTATTTTTGGTCAAACTTTTATTTTTTTAACTGTTATTCTCCTAAACATTACAAAAATTTGAAATTTTGCATACACATTCTTGAGAACTTTAATCACAATTTGATGAAATTTATTTGTGTTTTATTATTATTATGTAAATTTTTGCGTAATTAATTGTTTTGTGGTGACTGAAACTTTTGTCCAGGGAGTGTAAATCTTTATAACTAATAATTATTAAAGCATATATTTTTTCCCCTATAATAAATATCTAATATATAATATTTTAATAAAACACAAGAAATTAAAACAGTGATAGTATATAGTGGTGATGCAAAGCATTGAGTCTTTGACTCTTCAGATATTAATTTTATTCCAGTATCAATGATATCAAGCCCAAACTATGAACAGAAATATAAAAGGCTCTCTAAACAATCAATGATACAGAGAAAAACAAAAAACTACTAATAATTATTTAGAATATTTAGAGGGTGTTATAGATGAAATAGATGCAAGAGAAATTCATAGTAGGTGTTCTAAAAAGAAAAAAAAAGTAAAAAAAGTTTAGATGCGAAAATTCACACTAAATGAATTTGATTCAGAAATCTTGTATTACTCGTTAAAATGAATTGTTTTTTTTTTTTTTTTTAATTGACGTAATCTTGTTGTGACATTTATTAATTTAAAATTAAAAATATGTAATACATATATATAAAAAAATTTAAATTATTTACAATGCACAACCCCCCCTCGTTTTACCATAAAATAGTATTCGTTTGGAGTGACTTGACGTCATACAAAGTCTCATGAGGCCTCCTTTTTTAATTAGAGAATTAAGCTATTGCACCCCATTTCTTTGACTATGTAAAACA